TCTAATCGCAATGTTTAAAAATGCGATTTCGATTTGAAATCGATTAATCGTTTAGCACTACGACTTGCTCACCCGTTCCAAGACGTCTGGTGGGCAGTGTGGAAACGTAGGCCAAAGCATCCTCGAAATGGGATACAACTAAACTATATATTTGTTTTTTTTTACCAGGTAAGGCCCACTGAGCTATATAGCTCTTTTTCAGAAGCGATCTGGCCACAAATGATAGTCCAATGAAGCGGCTTATCATGTGGACATTTATAGCAGCCAAATACTCTAAACGCATGTTTCTCAAAGTGGAAGGGAAAAACCGAAGGACCTGGAGAGAGACACGCAAACTCCAAATATACAGCAACAGGCGTCAGGGTCGTAGATCGAACCCACGACCTCCTGCATACCAGGCGAGGTGGTTAACATCTCGACCACCACGGCGTCCCGATACGTTGGTGGAGGCCCTTTCCGCCAGCAGTGACTTGAGCAGGAAATATGCAGGGCTGCACCTTTATCGTTCTGACACAAGAGCGGGGTGGGACTGTGTTTCCGCTGCTCGACTCGCTCTGTGAACGAAGGCGAATGGGTTGAACTCCTGGTCAGGGTATCGGCTCAGCCAATCGTCCCATCTGCCCCGTGGTTGATAAAAAAATTTGTACCGCTTTGCTTAGGAAGCCGTTGTGTGGCCGCGTTTAGTTTGATAAATTTAGTCGCAAATTGCTCAAATGGGAATACACGCAGCAACATCGCCCTCCTCCCCCACCTCTCCTGGCAGACCAATTGCCCACTTGCAGTCCGGCGTTCAGTCGCTCTTTGCCGCATGCGGTCAGCTGCCATTAAGGGGGCGGGGGTCCCCTCCTAGGCTCAAACAAACTATCCTCCGAGACGCTTCACTGCTATATGGGCGCAGTATAAATGCAAGTGTTCTTTTTTGCTTGAATTGATAGTATACGGGCATTCGTATTTCTGTCATTCGTTGTATTGTCGCCCCGAACATAAGTTCCGTTTATGCTTACGCTATTTAACACTGGGCATTTCACACATCTGAATACGTATGCTCATTTGGGGTACACAAGCATTGGACAGCAAAAACAATTCTAAGCCTGTAAATGTTGACATTTCATGAGCGCCGAATCGGAAAATGTACATCAGATCTTAAATGCACTCCTTCAAAAAAATTACCAAATTGTTGATTTTGGGCACCAAAAATTGGATGAGTTCATTTTTACCCTCAACCCCCCTTCCCCGAGGGCTGGCCGCGAGTTGGTCTCTCCCACTAAGCCACGTGGCTCTCTGTGGGGCAGTGGTCGCGAGCAATCAGAATATTGGTTTAGACTGGAGTAATCCGATGAGCTGCAAAGCTCTTTTTTCACAGGTGTCCAGGAAGGGCACGGGGCCAGGACGCTGCAACGACAAACAGTAAAAAAAACGATACGAGTGAAAAGTATATGGAAGGTAGATTTGAAGCTTTCGTGACTGCAAGGATTCATACTCTTAGGTTGTTTCGGTGAAGTCACGTAGGTAAAAAATAAAAATGTAATTAAAATTAATAAAAGTAAAATAAAAATCACGACGTTTCGGAGGCGTGCTGTGACGGTTCCACCTGAAGACGGAAGCTTGTGTTGCCTCAGAAACGTCGTGATTTTTATTTTACTTTTATTAATTTTAATTTAATTTGTATTTTTTACCTACGTGACTTTACCGAAAAAACCTAAGAGTATATATGGAAGGTAAAAAAAATCACTTAAAAATATCTACAAATAAAACTAAACAATTTTTTTTATCTTACCAGGTAAGGCCCACTGAGCTGTCAGATAATTTTTCAGAAGCGACCTGCTCACAAATGATAGCTCAGCAAAGTGGCTTATCAGGTGGAAATTTAGAGCAGCAAAATAACAAGCGCCGGTCCCAGCAAATATTCTGCGTAGGCCTTCGCTTTCCTGCGACCCGGCCAAGAATCGAATTGATGATTTTGGGGCACAAAAAAACGATTTGGCGGGAAGTATATACATATATTGTTTTAACCAGGGGTCTACGATCGTTCGTATCTGAAGGTGCTGAATGTAAATGTAACATCGACGTTTTAGTAACTCTATTTGGGCTATGTTTTCCAGGGGAGTGACGTTATAATTCAGCCTTACAGTTCATAGAACTTCACAACACAACGACGCATATCCAACCTTTTCACTTATCTGTCCAAATACCTCGTGACGTCACTTATCTGCACGTATCTCTGTACATCATGACGTCACTTACCTGCCTATATGTCAAGTATACATCATGACGTCACTTATCTGCCTAGATCTCAGTATACATCATGACGTTACTTACCTGCCTATATGTCAAGTATACATTCTGACGTCACTTACCTGCCCAGACCTCAGCGCACATCATGACGTCCCTTACCTGCCCATGTCTCTGTACATCATGACGTCACTTACCTGCCTATATGTCAAATATACATCATGACGGCACTTACCTGCCCATATCCCAGTGTACATCATGACATCATCAGGAGAGTTTAGGATGTAGACGCTGAGGTTTGAAGTTTTAAGCGCTGAGTTTTTGTTCAAATTTATTTTAGACAACCCGTTGATTAATTTGGCCAATTTTATCTCCGGTAAGTCTCTAATAGCAACACAACTTTTCACGAAAGTTTCGTTAAGATTGGATCATATTTACTGGAGTTATCGTGGCCCTACGTTACTGACGGATTGACACAGCTCATGTTTTCAAAATGAATTGGAAAGTGCAAGAAATATTTTCCATGCCTTCCAGTGGTGCTCATTTGCACGTAGGCACCTTGAGCATAGAGTACTTTTTATTCCTTTATTAACAACAAATGGATAGACCCTCTACAAACCAATTAGTGAAAACAATTCCCGAGTTGAGACGAAATTCTGGTTACTCTGCCTGGGCTTCTCAACAACGCGATTGGCAGAGATAAGGAACACAAATTAAATTACAGTAAGCACGTCTTCGCTGCCTCCGTCTCAAAAGAGCTGACTTTTATTGCATAAGTGAAAGGACGGACAGTGAACAGACTAATAACACTATGTAACACAATTTTTGTTCCTGGGTATTAAGTGTTATTTTTTAATTGCGTATGCCTAAAACAATATAGACAATGGCTATTATTCTCCACACACTTTGCTTTTGTGACCAGGACTTTATGTGAACGAATGACACAAATCCACACGTCTCATTGAAAATAGGTCCATTTCTAAATATCACTGTCCTGGTCACAATACGAAAGTTTGTGTGGAATAATAGCCATTTTCTATACTTTTGAGGCATGAGCAATTAGGAAATAACACTTGCTACCTAGGAACACATTTTTTTTGTTACACAGTGTAATATAGACGGTGTAGTCGCCACCGATCGGGCATTGTGGGGGGGGGGGGGGGTGGGGGGGGAATATGTAACCCCGTGCCACCAGAACACGTCCCCTGCTCAAACGGGCATTGATTGATTGATGCGGTGCTCAAGCTCCATTGGTGGCCCTGAAACAGCGGTGGAAATTCCACATTCACATGACAGGGGCCCATGTGATCTATAGAACAAGCACGACTTTCCATAAAGTGGTACCGTATTTTATGGACCCCCTCCCGGGAGAGGATGGGCTGAGTCAGCCCCCCCATCCCCCCCCTAAATATATTTTGAATTTGTCCGTGTCATTTGACGCGTCAGCCGACCACGTGCTCTGCTGCAGCAACCTCGGCCATGAGCACTCCGCGCGAAGATCCTGGCAGCCAGCATGAGTTCGAGTCGTGGTCGTGCGCACAACGCCTGTGACAATTGCTGCCTTAAACAGGCTTGGGTCACCCTCTAGGTGGACTCAGCCATAAAAAATAAGTCGTGTGCAAACCGTCAGCGATGGGAAAACAAAAATGGCTCGTGACTTTTTTTAGTTCTGATCGCACTCCCACGTGGAGGCTGCACCAGTGCTAAGAGGTGCTCACTAACACGACTTGCCACGCAGTCTTATACTGCTGAATCGGGGCACGTTGCGTGTGTGTGTGTGTGTGGTATGCACTGTGTGTATGTTCCAGGGACAGTCAGTCATATTGTGTGAATGTGCACACGGTAATATTGAGTGTGTGGTCGTGGAAAGAGGAGCTGGTTGGCAACACTTGCCCTGACAGTATATCCAGCACCTCCAATCGGCACGCTTGGCTACGTACGGTGCAAAAGAGGTTTAGCATACATACAGAGCCAGAGGCTATGTGTCTGTGTGTAACCTACGCAAGCCAGCAGCTGGTCAACAGTGGCGTGGTGTGGTCATGCATCAGCATGCCGGACCACGAGAATCTCCCCAGTACATGAAGGTTAAAACCTCGGTGGGAGGTCGAGAGTAGATTGCCACTGATGCTATCCTGTGGTCGGGAATTGAACCCAGGTCACTGGCATCATGAGTGGACAATATCACACGAGAGTCTCTGTGCTCGGGTGGGTGCGTCAATGAACGGAAATAAAACTAAAACTCCACGTGCGACAAGGCGGGTGGCGCCACCCTCCAGTTTAATAGCGACGCGTCGCTCGCTCCCGTGCGCTGGGACATTCTCAGCACCCCCCCCCTCACCCAAGGGCATCGTCATTAAATGCGGGCCCTGTGACACGCACGGTTATAGCGGCGGCGGCGGCGAGGGGCATGTGCCCTACACACAGACGACAATAAATATACACGCGGCGCAAATCTGTGTATGTACACGGGGCCGGCACGGCGAAGCCGTCACGCGACGCGAATGAACGTCAACGGCGACAACAACAACAACAAAATGCCGCAGTCGGTTCGCCGCGTTTCACTTTGCAAGGGAAAGGGGGCAAAGTGTTAATGAACTCCTGCACGTGGCTGAGCGAATAAAGAGGCCAATGGGCGGGCGGGCGGGATCGTGGCCACCGCCGCCACCAAACAACAACGCGCGGCGTCGTCTCTCCATGCTCACGCGAGTACGGCGAGAGGAGGGAGTGGAGTCGGGGTGGAGGAGTCGGGGTGGAGGAGTCGGGGTGGAGGAGTCGGGGTGGAGGAGTCGGGGTAGGTGGGTGTCGCTCATCGTCCCCGGAGACCCGTAGCGAGCGGTGGAAATTCCACTCGCAATTTTTTTTTTAAAGGGCGGCCTGGCCCAGCTTTGTGTCCGTCCAGGATGAGCGCAGTCGTCGTGGTCGCGACGGACAGCGCCTGGACTCGTCGACATCGCCCGCGGCGGGGAGGAGAGGGACCCCCCCCCCCCCGGTGGCGACTTGAACGTCAACCGCTACGATGGGCTGCCCGGCGCCGTGCGCGGCGGGGTAGATGATAAACTTTCGTCCGACGTTCGGGGAAAATTATATCGCATCCATAGAACCCACACGCAGTCTGGTCGTTTGTTCACTCGGTGAAATTGAAGCGTTGCACGCTGTGCAAGAGCGCCCGTGTGGACCGTCAGAGATTTGTCTGAGCAGCAGCAGCAGGAGGAGGAGGAGGCAGAACGGGCGGTGGCAGTGAATTCGCAGACAACTTTCGGGAATTGTTGTGACGCTGTCGTGACCTTATGGGAAATTAATCGACATCGCGGTAGGTGAAAGGCGTGCGGCACTGGATGTATGTTTATGCTAACCACAGGTACCGAAACTCGGCATGGCGCGACTGCCAACACTTTCCGCACGGCTCCCCAACAAAGTCACGGTGGCCAGAGCCACCGGAGTGGCCACCGTGACTTCCCGCTGCACGAGGCAGCCGAATAAAAGGCTGAATTCACGGACGGACGGACGGACGACAACATATTAATGGACAAACGGCACAGCGTTCACTCCGAATCGCTGAACCTGGCAGAGCGGTGAGCGCCGCGTCTCTGTTCGCACAGCGACCACTGACAACTTTCCACAACGGAGATCTCATTTCATCCACCCAGACAGATACATGTGCAGAAAATCAATTTCCCCACAACTTGCAGTCGAGCTCCACTCGTTGCGTCAATTTTTTGTTCCGACGAAATTACTACTTCTTGCCAAGATACATTTCCTCGCCTGCGATCGTTTAGACCATTTGGATATTTATAACATCATTTGCTGGCCATAGAAAATTATCAACTTAAAAAAATTAACCTGTTATATATGGTCAAACATTTCATTAACTCACCCCCAATGTGATGGCTGGAACTGCTTCTCTTTGGCGAGGCGTGTGATGTTAGCTGGTATTGATGATGTTGCTACGCGCAACTGCTTTTCCAGGTTTGCTCCTAGATTCATTGAATTTCGAGTGCCGCCTGCGGTTGCCTTGGCAGGGCCAGACCAAATTATTTCGTGGGTCTTACACGGCCCGCGGGCCGGACGTTCCCCACCCATGCTTTAGACGAAAGAGCTTCGATTACAACCGTCGCAATTGACGCTTTTGCGATGTGTCTCACGCCGGCGTTGATTTCAGTTTTCAAGGCGCAAACGCAGTGAGCCGTGGCTACGCGGCCCCCATCCCGCGACCCATTCGCAGAGCGGCTGCCGCTTGACTCTGTGCGATGGGAGGAGAGGCAACAAAACAATCCACATGCTTCTACTCTTTGGGTCTTTCGGTAAAGCCACGTAGGTAGAACAATAATAGATCACGACGTCCGTCACCGTCATTGGGCTTGTGTTTGCGTCCGAAACGTCGTGATCTAATATTTTTCTACCTACGTGACTTTAGCGAAAGACCCAAAGACTATGGATTCCTGCAGTCACGAAAGCTTCAAATCAAAAGCCACTTTTTGTACCATTGCCAGCTCTCCTTTGAGAAAAAATGAATCAGACGCCCGTTACAATCCTGCTCCATCCAAAACAGTGTCGGGGTTTGTTTCAGGTCGAGGAGTTGTGGCGAGCCTGACGGGCAGCACTACGTCCGCAGCGACCTCCCCGGCTACCGTCTGGAACGTTCTTCCTTCCGATATTAGGAAGCCGCTGGGAGCTACGCGCACTCCTTTAATCATCGTCCAGATTGACAAAATCATTGCTTCAGAACTGCTTTCTGCGTTTAGTTTGTTGTCCTTCCCCCGCACCTCCGATTAGCACGGTTGGCTACGTACGGCACAAAAGAACGTCAACATGCGTACGTGCGTACACACACCGCCGTGAGTGCTCAACGGTAAACGCATCTGGCCTGGGCCTCCCACAAGGTTGGCTCGGCCTAAAATGGGTACCCAGTGCGGTGCGATGTGGTGAATGACACAAGCAGTGCTGAGTCCGGCACGCTCTCGTCTGCCTTGCCGCTCCTCACAACTACTCGCTGACTGTCCATGCCTGTGCTGTACGTTCGTACGTCAATGTACACATCTGTGTGCTTGCGACTGTGCTTGCATTCATATTCGTACGCGTGCGCGTGTGTATGTATGAGTTTGTGCATACGGCTGTGGGGGAGCGGTAGCGTATTGGTTAGCGCTCCGCTACGAACCCGGCGACCCGAGTTCGATTCCAACTCACGACCAACACCGGTGACGATTATCTAAAACTGTTCTGAGCTTCCCCAAGGCAGATTCAGCCTCAAATGAGTACTTGGAGCGATATGTAAATATCGGCACTCGGGGAGACAAAGGGGGCGTGGTGCTGGCCACCCGCCTCCTCGTGTGCCGTGCCGGCCTTCATCGGTGCCACTCGCTAACACCACTTGCCCCAACGGTCCGTCAAAAGCGATAACAGGAAATCTTTGTCTTTTGCATAACACTGCAAGCACATGTGCATTTTGCCGAGATATATATATATGCGTTCTCGTGTAAACCCAACAACATTTGCGAATGCTTTTAAAATTCCATTAAAATGTCTCCTTTCTTTGAATCGTTTCTCCCAGAAACGCATCGGGAACTCGCCGTGGGTGCCGAGTCGCCAGTGCATCGCCTCGCGCGAGACGAGGGAGCGCGTCCCTTGGGTGGAGGGGGGTGGTGGCTGGGGATGATGCCACGGGAACGCTTCCTCCACTTGCTCTCCTGTGTCCTGTAAGCGGGCCCTCCCGTCGGACGCCCCGGACCGTTCGGTGCACGTGGGCCTGATGCAAACCGTCGTCATCGATTTCATCGCCCAAATCTCGGTGAAACAACCGCTGCTGGTTTGAACGACGGCGGCTCGTCGCGCAGTCGTTCAAAACCGAAGGCCGGCCCCCAAGTTCACGGGCATCGCGGCTCAAGTTCCTCCGGGTCGGTGGCGCCGGCGAGCGTGGACTACTGCAGCGTCGCCGGAGACAGCGAAGCCCAGGCGGGCGACATGAGCCTTTGGTGGGCCTGAGCGTCGTAGTGCGAGTCGGGGAGCCCCACGGCGATGGTGGACGACACGGGGATGATGGAGGAGGAGGAGGAGGCGGACGACGAGGACGACGACGAGGAGAGGGGGTGGCCGGTTCCCGCCAGCTCGGAGCTGTGGTGGTGGTGGTGGTGGCCGCCGACGCTGTCGTAGGGCGACACGGCAGGGGGGCCCCCGCCGTGACTCTGCCCGTACGGGGAGGAGGAGGAGGCGCCGCCGCCACCGCCGCGGAAGAACGGCACGGGGAGGCCTGCGGTGGGGCCGGACTGCTGCTGCGCCGGGGAGAGGCTGTTGTTGCTCACGGACCACAGGCTGGGGTACTGGCTGCACGGGGGTGGGCGCACGCACACGGCCAGGGAGAGGGGGGAGAGACGCAAGGTGTCAGCGCACTGAGATCATCATCAGCAGCAGCAGCAGTCGTGATGAATCCGATACTGGACGAAGTCGTGGCCATTCACCACGGTCGAGTGTGATGGCAGTCATCTGTCCGCTACCTTTGAAGTGCCCCGGTTTGGGTGGGGGGGGATGCGTTTCTGAGAGGCGGGACGACCGAATACCGAAACGACTGAGAATCGAATCGGTTTGCGGGGCAGGTGCTGGCGGCCAAGGCTGAGAGAGGCACCAGGTCACGAGGAATAAGTATAACCCGTAAAAACAAAGTTTTTCACTCTAAATCCTTTATATGCGTGGCGGCTAGAGTCCTCTCGTCCTCTGGCTTGAGATGGCTGCCACCTATGGGTCAGATGATTGCATTGCACCATTAAGCAATTGGTAATTAAATATAATATTTTTGTCCTAAAAAGTGTAACATTTTGGGAATTTTTTTTCACGAACATTAATTGTCACGCACAACGAGTCTGTGTCGAAAATGTCAGCTCGATTGGATGACGGGAAGTGGGTTAAAAAACGACCGAAAGATTTGCACGGTCGTAAGCAAGCAAGCAAGCGAACTTAATATAAAGGATTTAAAAATGACAGACGACGACGTTGCTGCCTGCGATGCCAATCGGGTGGCGGTGTTCGTAAAGCGACGACGTCGAAGGGGGTGGGGGGGGGGACGTACATCGGGGCTATTGCCGTACAGAAAGTGAGTAATAGCTCAAGGTGCAGCCCTGCAATTCCCTGTTCGCGCCACTGCTGCAGAGAGGCAGCGCGTCGCGACGTCCTCCGTGGACGCTCGTTTGCGGCATTTGCCCCTACGACACGCCTAGGTTATACGGTGGGAGGGGGGGGGGGGCCTTTGCCTTTATCCTTGTTGTTGTTGTTGTTGCGAGTCTCACCTGGGCACCGGCGCCGAGGTGGTGGCCCCGCCGGGCCCCCCCACCTGCAGGCTGGACCAGCCCTCGTGCGCGGGGAACAGAGGGAGCCCCCCGCCGGAGGAGACGTCCACGTAGGCTGAGGCTGAGGAGGAGACGCGACGGGGGAAGACATTAGTGGGGGGGGGGGGGGGGGGTCAGCCGTCAGCGTCGTGGTCACGGCACGTTGCGTCCGTCGTCGGAGCGAAACGCGAAGGTCGTGGCGGTCACCGTCGGGATGAGCGTCGATATTTTGTGTCGACGTCGTCATTGCGGTCACCAACGTGATGGTCGTCATCATAGGTGTCGTCGTCGTCGTCGCTGCGAAGGTTGTCATGATCATGATTGCATTCATCTTCGTAACTGTCATCGCTATCATCGCTGTCATTCTCGTTCTCGTCACCATCATCGCGATCACATACGCGCACACGCACGCACGCACACACACTCACACACACGCGCACACACTCACACACACGCACGGGCACACGCACGGCACGCACGCGCACAAAAACACGCACACACACGCACAAGCGCACACGCGCGCACGCACGCACACACACGCACGGGCACACGCACGGCACGGCACACAGCACGCACACACACGCACGCACGGCACGCACGGCACACACACACACGCACGGGCACAGCACGCACACACACGCACGGCACACACACACGCACGGGCACACGCACGCACACACACGCACACACGCACGCGCACGTACTGGGCGAGGAGCTGCGGTAGGGGCTGGGGTAGGGCGCCGCGCGGTGCGAGCGGAGCGAGGAGAATCGCTCGCAGCCCGCGGTCGCGTGGTGAGCGGAGAGCGCGAGACCCCCGGGGAACTGCTGGTGGTGGGACGAGGTGGGCGCAGTCGGCAGGAACCAGCCGCCCACTGCTCACGGTGACACGGTGGGTGGGTGCCAATCCGTATGCGTGTGTATGAGTGTGCGTGTGTGTATGTGTGTACACGTGTGTGTGTGCGTGAGTGCGTGCGTGTGCGTGCGTGTGTGCGTGTGTATGTGTGTACACGTGTGTGCGTGCGTGAGTGTGAGTGTAGGAGTGTGTGTGTACACGTGTGTGCGTGTGTAGTATATGCGTGTATACGTGTGTGAGTTTGTGTTTATGTGTATTTACGTGTATGTTTAGATGTGTATGTAGATGTGTGTGTGTATTCACGTGTGTGTGCGTGAGTGTGAGTGTGCGTGTGTGTATGTGTGTACACGTGTGTGCGTGCGTGAGTGTGTGTATAAGTGTACGTGCGTGTATGTGTGTACACGTGTGTGTGTGCGTGAGTGTGTGTGTATGTGTGTACACGTGTGTGCGTGCGAGTGTGTACGTGTGTGAATGTGTAGTATATGCGTGTATACGTGTGTGAGTTTGTATTCGTGTGTATGTTTAGATGTGAATGTGTATGTAGATGTGTGTGTGTATTCACGTGTGTGAGTGTGTGCGTGTACGTGAGACGTTGTGGGTATGCGCAAACGTGTAAGTGTGTATTTGTGGGTTGCGTGTAAATATGTGTGTGTGTACGTATGTGAAGGAGAGAGAATGTAGAGCACACAAACGAGATGTAAGTCAACGCCAGTGAAATCGTTCGAGCTATGGTCGCATGTATCTTGGTCTACTCTGCTCCGGGGTGGTATAAACACACGCGGTGACAGTGGGTCGTGATGTTACTTTTCGCACACGTATACTATACAACGGAGCACTGTTAACTACCTCGCCTGGTATAGACATTGTACAGCAGGGCATGGGTTCCGATCCCGACCCTGGTGCCGGTGTACTCGGAGTACGCGTGTTCAAATGAAATCCATCCAGCACCACAGTATCCACACGCCACATTAGCGCGGTCGGCATGCATACAGAGACAAACATGGCACGGCTGTTATGAGCAACGGTGAGCAGTAGGGGGTCGAACATTTTTGGCCTGCGTTTATTTTCAAGGATAGAATATTTTTCTATTTCACCATCTCATTTGTATTGATTCTCAGTTCTGTTTTCTGTCCTGTTCGTTCAGTTTGGTTTGCTCCATTACCAAAAATTGGGCGTTCGCATCCTATATACGTATCGTTTTGCAGACATCAATACGCATGTGAATCATCACTACGCATGTGAATTGATGCATGTGTAATGACAGTAGAGTGAACCTACTGTGTGAGTGGACTAGTGGCCATGGGAGGTAATGACAGGGGAGTCAGCTTGCAGTACGAATGGACTAGTGGCCACGGGAGGTAATGACAGGGGAGTCAGCCTGCAGTACGAGTGGACTGGTGGCCACGGGAGGTAATGACAGGGGAGTCAGCCTGCAGTACGAGTGGACTGGTGGCTACGGGAATGATCGAGAATAGGAACGTGGCCAGGTGACGGAAGAGGATGGTGGAGTCTGCTGGTAGAGCGAGCGGTCTAGAACCAGCGAGAAGGTTCGGGAATGGGGGCGTGGCCTCGGACCGTATATCAGGGAGATGCGCAGGAGACTCGGGGCTGTTGCAGTGGGGGTCTCCGCCTGTTCGAGTGTGAGCACGTGGCAACTTAATAAAATAAACCATCTCAAGACAAGTGCGTCCAAGTCGTCGTTACACGTACCGTGGCGCATTGGCATCTTCGGATGAAATGCGCCTTGAAAATGTAAATTATCAGTATTATCAAGGACGGATGTTGTTTGTTATGAATCGTTGTTTTCGCGGCGTGTCACCACGCGCTTGCTTTCTACGTGGTAATCGGTGCCCTGGACGGTGTCCTCGCAACCGAGACGTTCCGTCTCACGGGACGCTTCCAGGTGAAATATAAAAAAAATGTGAAAGGAAAAACCACCAGTCGTGAGCCGCGGCGCGAGTGTGGGCTACGTACGGGACGCGTATCCGGACTGCTGAATATCCGCCACGTCTCCGACGCCGTCCTTCAGCGGGTCACTCCTGTAGGAACACGCCGCACTGCCAACGTTATAGGCGCATCCTCCAGGCACGGCGGCCTCAACATCGGAGCAGCAGAGAGAGGTATGAAGCAGTGGGGGATTACGGCACGGAGCGGGCAGGCGGTGCATCTACACCCCGTGCACATGAAGGGATATTGGACGAGGGGGGATGGGGGGCAGAATTCAATTGTATTCTATTACATTTTAATTTTATTATAGGGCGCCATGGTGGCGAGATGTTAACTACCTTGCCTGGTATACAGGCGGTCTTGGGTTCGAACACGACTCTCACGCCTGTTGTATATTTGGAGTTTGCGTGTCTCTCTTCCCGTGGTCGCGTGAATTTCCTACACATTTACAAACATGCATTGAGAGTATTTGGCTGCTAGAAATGGCCACGTGATGATGAGCCACTTCGTTGAGCTATCATTTGTGGCGAGGTCGCTTCTGGAAAAGAGCTGTGTAGCTCAGTGAACCTTACCTGGTAAAATAAAAAAAAATAGTTGTAGTAATAGTTTTTATTCAACGCGCCAGGGCCCATGCCAACCACGCTACGCCATGCCACAGGATCGGGTCGCGGGTCAACACAAACATTTTGCCACGGATTTTTTGCATAAATATAGACATCCTGCCAACAGCGATTTCCGTAATGGCACTTTGCCCGTTACCAGACAAATTTTGGCAGATGATTACGAGGTAACGTATGCAGCGCTATGCATATCCAGGCGGCCGTTTCCACTGTGGTTAGAACACCCAGTTCACCATCAGTAAGTCACGTGGGGATGAATGTTGTTGTGGAACAACAGTCGTTGTTCTGTGGACAAATTGGCACCTGCCATTGGAATGTGGAATTTCCACTGCTGGCTCTGGCCTAAAACATATTGTTACTTGGTTTATGAGTGTATATGTGTGATGCCGGTGATAGCAGTGATGACTTTTAAGTCTTATAAAGCAAGTTAGTGTCATCAATACATTTACTTATGCATTGTTAAGTATCGGGAACAATAGGGCAATGCAAATGTACATGTATGATAATGCAAACAAATGTTATGCATTTCACGATTATCAAAATATAAAAAATCACGAAAAATATATGGTGTTTATTGAATCGCTGGTGCCGCGGCTGATGATGCTGATGATGATGCTGATGATGAATATGGCGTATCACGTGTGTGAGTGTGTGCACGTTCTTTATTATCACCTTTCCTTCGCATCCAGAAACGCCTTGGCAAAAGGATTGTGTCGAATTTTCAGCGAAGTGATCTGTAAAGGACAAGAAACAAAATTCGATTTAAAAAACAATTAGTTCCCCTAGGGCTTTTCCTTGGTTCCATCGGTGGCAACACACAATCCCCTCTATTGTTTCCTCAATCTAAAATAGTTTTTACTGTTTCTGTACAGCATCGTCAAATGCGGTCACCAGTAGATGCTTTCTAAGTCCACGTTGTTGTTTGAATTCAGGCTTACTGATAGCCAAGCCTCATCATTCGCGGATTTTTCTTTCGCGAAATTCGCTTATTCGCAATGTTTTATCTGTACACCGGTTCAAGTGTCGCGCATTTGGCGACATCGCATCACGGGGAGGGCTACTGCACTTGCGCAGTACAGTAAGTGGATTGTGGCCCACGTGCTGCCATCCACAGAGCTGAAGCTTTCTACTCTTCAAGTGCCGTTGCCGTTCGTGCTATTTTTACCTAATTTCTGGTGTTTTTTTGTTAATTTCGACCGTGGGGTCGAAGCGCCGAGTGAACGGAGGCAGTGGGAGCCAGAGTAAAAGCCGTGAAAAAGTTTTGAGCTTCGCTACAAAAGAGTAGAGTTTACACCTAGACGTGCTCGTGGTGACAGTGTGTCTGCTGTTGGCTGCCATTACATGGTGAACGAGTCAACAGTCGGATTGATAAAGGACAACGAGAAGGCCGTGAGTGTGGTGGAAAGTGCACCAATAAAGAGACTTGAATACCCGCCGAGCTCCAGGTGCGATGCCATCGACGATAGCACCGCGGAACGGCACTGCAGCGCATGAACGCCCCACGTTCACGTGGTGTTCACGTGGTGTGCCACGTCAACGTGGTGTACCACATTCACGTGGTGTGCCAAGCACCGTACTCCTCGTCCCGTGTCCTTTGCCCTGTGTCTCCATGCCCTGTGTCTCAGCGCCCCGTGCCCCATGCCCCGTGTCTCCATGCCCTGTGTCCCTTGCCCTGTGTCACCATGCCCTGTGTCTCCATGCCCCGTGTCTCAGCGCCCCATGCTCCATGCCCCGTGTCACCATGCCCTGTGTCCCTTGCCCTGTGTCACCATGTCCTGTGTCACCATGCCCCGTGTCCCTTGCCTTGTGTCACCATGCCCCGTGTCCCTTGCCCTGTGTCACCATGCCCCGTGTCTCCATACCCCACACCCCGTGTCCTCGTGCCCCATTCCCCCGTGCCCCGTGTCCCCGTGCTGCCCACCTCCTCGTTCTGGTAGGCGGTGACGGCGATGAAGCGCGTCTCGGGGAACGCGTGGCTCGTGACGAGGCGCTGGGCGCCGCCGACGCGCACGATGTGGATGCGGGGCTGGTACTTGTGCAGCGAGTTGAGCATTATCTGAGCAGCAGCGACGACGACGACAATGAGATTCACATCAACGCGGGTGAAGCCATCGCCATGATCAGCTATGTCATTGTCACCCATATCATGACTACCATATTCGTCAATCATCAATTTATCCATGAACATTAACACGTGCATTTATATAACACCATCATGGCCACCAAAATCCTTACCATCATCATCATGACCAAAATAATCACCAAAACAAGCATCATCATCACGTAATCACCACCAGCATCATCACCACCACACCATCAATAACATGACCATCAGCACCAACGTGAAAAAAGATACTCTGATAATATATGCATGTTTTTTGTTTGCATTCTGACCACAAGTATTGCGGTTAATGCGGACATGATTCCTTGTAAAAGGTTTCAGTTTGGTGTTTTAACATCTTAACACAGCTGTTTTGTTTCCATAAAAAAGGGGAAAACCTATTCTCATATTTTGCTACTGGCAAAGGAGGTCCCACGATGCCCCTGGTCATCATGCCCGCCACAACAACAACACCACCACGAGCGCCCACCTGCCCGCTGCCGTTCATCTTGTTGGAGAGCTTGACCTTGCAGAAGGAGACGGGCGCGCGCATCCAGTGCGCCCCGAAGTTGGGCGAGTCCGGGTGGATGTAGACGCAGCTGGGCGGCTGCGGCTCAGGCTTGCCGCCCGCCACCCACTCGCCGTTCACGTACTTCCAGCGGTGGGCGTCGGCCGCGCAGAAGTCCAGCAGCAGGGAGTACATGGCGTTCGGGTCGAGGCCGGACACGGACGCCTTGATCACGGGGAACATTCGCCTGCGCGCAACGCAGCGATGGGAGAGTCACTCGCAGCCAGGGCTCGGAGACAGAGTGATTGCTCTGGCCAGATGAGAGCTCATAGGCAGAGTGGAGCATCTGACCAGATGAGAGCCCATACGCAGAGTGATTCATCTGACCAGATGAGAGCTCATAGATTGATTCATCTGGCCAGATGAGAGCTCATAGGTAGAGTGATTCATCTGACCAGATGAGAGCTCATAGACACGGTGAATCATCTAACCAAATGAAAGCATGTAAAAAAGTGTGACTCATGTAACTAGATGAGAGCTCACAGTCGTAGCAATTCATCGGCCCAGATGTACAACCTACTATTCTCACTCTTCCTGATTACATCTCACGCAAACGTCCAAGTTGCTTAAACTATTCCACTATGAGATTCTTAGAGTTATCCTCGTGCCTCTGCACTCAAATAACCATAAAACGTTCAGAGTTTTCCTAAACGCAGCGTTCCGGCACTAGTTAAAGCTGTGACTGTTACAACCAGGACGAGAGCTAAAACCGTGTCTTTTATAGACGTTGTAATCGTCTCATATATTAACAACGTCAACTTAACACGCTGCTGCACAGTATCCATTTACCCTCCAAGGGGGAGAGAGAGAGAGAGAACGACTTCAGAGGCACGAGGAGGAGCCAGAGGCAAGCGTGAAGGCAGCGAGGCGATTTCAACCCAAAGCTCTGTGGACCTCTATATACGAAGGTGATACATCGGCCGAAGCACTCAAAGAAACCCCACGCGTGCAAGGGGACAACACTCCATCCCAGGGGTCGGCAACCACAATAACAGGAAGAGACAATTTTGTTCGAATTCGATAACAACAAAAATCTATATTTCAAGAGCCACAATGCATTGCGAATACGAAACGGTGATCCTTACATTTTCAAGTTGAAAGTCTTTCAAGTTTAATTTATTAAGTATAGCCCTGTGCGCCATGTGGCTCTTGAGTCGGGTGCAACCGCAACAAACTAAATATGAACAAGATAAATCACTGTGACGAAATCCTTCAAAGAACCGCGTGTGGGGCTATGGACCCGCAGGTTACCAAACCCCTCTGCTCGATCCCATACAAATGGAACAAATGGGGTTCCTCATTCGCCGCACCGCCTTCTCCTGGCGAGCCAGGGTATGACAACATCGACCTGCACGGTGCTGGATAAGAGGCGCGCAAAGCCAGACCAGCTTCCCAGCTGCTGAACAGTGCCGGATTAGCCCCGTAGCACAAACACGGGCGCTGCACTTTAAAGGGCCCCGCGCTAAATGCTTTCACGCTATCAATTTCGGTTCAGTGATTCTGCACTTGCTCTGTTACTATAGTACAATACTGCCTTCAACTTTTATGAACGACTGAGTGTTTACCAAAGTGTATGGATCCCTGCAGTCACGAAAACTTCAAATCTAGTTTGGGTGTTAAAGGTTAGCGATTTGTCGTATTAGCTGGCTTATAGCAAATGAAAACGTACAATTACTTTATACTCTTAGGTTTTTTCGGTAAATTCACGTAGGTAAAAATAAATAATAAAAATAATAAAAATGAATAATAAAATAATAGAAACAAAGTGTTTCTTGCTGTGGTTTTCCCACCCGATGACGGACGCTTGTGTTGCGCCCGAAACGTCGTGATTTATTATTTTATTTCTATTATTATTTCTATTATTTTATTATTCATTTTTATTATTTTTATTATTTATTTTTACCTACGTGACTTTACCGAAAAAACCTAAGAGTATGAATCCTTGCAGTCACGAAAGCTTCAAATCTAGAATAGAATAAGTAAGTTTAAAATTAGTGTTTTACATTTTTTTCATTTAGGGCCCCTTTTTAACATGTGTTACAGGCCCCGCACTAGCTTAATCAGGCACTGCCACTGACAGCGACTGCTACGGTAAACAACAACAACGACAACAACGACAATAACAACAGAGCTGAAGCCGAACGGCATCGACGCGTCTCCATGTGCTCTGAGTAGCAAGCGGTGTTGTGATCTCCGTCTGCTGAGAGAGAGATTCCACACTCCCATGCCATGCGTCATACTCTCCCCAGGTGACTATTCACACAGTGACTCATCACCAGATGACACCCCAACCGCGCGGGCTATGTATATATATTTGTTTTTTAACACGCGGTGGTATTTCTGTCTCTTGCTGTAGAGACTTCGCGCAAATAACGCGGAGCCGTGCCCAGTGTTGCTTCAGCACGCGGTGGGGTGGGAGATAATGCCATTTAGCATTCTCGTGTGCGGTTGGTTCAGAGATGATTGTGAACGAAGCATTGCTGCAATATCTAATGCGTAGAGGCATTAGACCGTCCATGTGAGCAAGTGCTGTTAGCAAGCGCCTATTAATACCCACGCAAAGACAAAGGTTCCCCATATAGCCTCGACAGAGCATTGGGGCAAGTGCTGAGCACTGTGGCACACGAGGGGGTGGGTGGCCCACACCACGCCCGGCCGCCTTTGTCTCCCCCAGTGGCGATGTTTACACAGACAGCACCAGATACTCATTTGAGGCCGAGTCGAGCTAGGGGAGTCCCAGGACCGGTTCAGATAATCGTCACTGGCGCTGGTGGCCGTGAGCGGGAATCGAACTTGGTTCGACGGGTTTGTAGCGCAAACCACGACACTACCCACGTGTGTATACATTACTGTGTGCATATATACACACACAAACAAAGACAAAGATCCCCCATATAGCCTCGACAGAGCATTGGGGCAACTGCTGAAGACCTATGAAGGCCGGCACGACACACGAGGGGGTGGGTGGCCAGCACCACGCCCGGTCGCCTTTGTCTTCCCGCAGTGGCGATGTTTACACACACAGCAACATGTATTCATTTGAGGCTGAGTCGACCTAGGGGGGGGGGGCCCAGGACCAGTTCAAATAATCGGCACTGGTGTACTGTATACACGGGGGGAGGGAGGGGTAGATGTGACGCTGTGGGTCGCGCACTGCGCTGTGAAGCCGGCAACGTGAGTTCGATATCTGAACTGGACAGAGAATCCACACTGACCAGCGTGGTGAAGTATGATCACTGAATCCACACTGACCAGCGTGGTGAAGTATGGTCACTGAATCCACACTGACCAGCGTGGTGAAGTATGGTCACTGAATCCACACTGACCAACGTGGTGAAGTATGATCACTGAACCCACACTGACCAGCGTGGTGAAGTATGATAACTGAATCCACACTGACCAGCGTGGTGAAGTATAGTCACTGAATCCACCGTGACCAGCGTGGTGAAGTATGGTCACTGAATCCACACTGACCAGCGTGGTGAAGTATGGTCACTGAATCCACACTGACCAGCGTGGTGAAGTATGGTCACTGAATCCACATTGACCAGCGTGGTGAAGTGTGGTCACTGAATCCACATTGACCAGGGTGGTGAAGTATGGTCACTGAATCCACATTGACCAGCGTGGTGAAGTATGGTCACTGAATCCATATTGACCAGCGTGGTGAAGTATGGTTACTGAATCCACATTGACCAGGGTGGTGAAGTATGGTCACTGAATCCACATTGACCAGCGTGGTGAAGTATGGTCACTGAATCCACATTGACCAGCGTGGTGAAGTATGGTCACTGAATCCACATTGACCAGGGTGGTGAAGTATGGTCACTGAATCCACACTGACGTCATGTGCATGGCGGGCTCTGATGCCAGCAATGGGATTTTTTTTGTTACAATTTAGATCATTCACAATACTGTAGGCACACATACGTGATGTGGGTAGGCATATATAAATGCACACACACACACGTTACTTATACTATATTCATCGGATTATAAGACGCACGAATTGTCCCAGTATTTGCATCAAAAGTTGGGGGTGCGTCTTATAATCCGGTAGCTAGAGTACTTCAATGGCATCGGGGGACAGGTCTGGGATGCGTCTTTCTTTCCGGAGGGACGTATAAATCGGAGATGTCGCTTGGATGTGATTAAGCAGATGAAAACCGAGCACATATATAAATGTGAAGTATATTAAATGCGAAAATAACGATTCCTCGTAATTCAGTGCGGACTGCAACGCTTAAGGATTATACACTTCAGCGGTGTCTGTTTTACAGTTTCGCGTAAATACGTGAGTTTTGAGAAATTAAGAGGCTTGCAAATGTGAATTTTCAATTTAGTATGATTTGAGGTATTGATACATCGGTATAGATTACACACGCTAGTATGTTCAGCCGTCTTGAATCGATCTAGGTCGTATCTGACCGTGGGTTGTGTTAATTGACGTACTTCAACACTCGGTTCAAGGAAGCCATCAATTAGACACGGATTCAATCATATTCTTAGGTTTTTTCGGTAAAGTCACGTAGGTAAAACATTAAAATTAATAAAAGTAAAATAAAATAAAAATCACGACGTTTCGGAGGCAACACAAGCTTCCGTCTTCAGGTGGAACCGTCACAGCCACGACAGCTGTATCAAGTAAATGTCGTGGCTGTGACGGTTCCACCTGAAGACGGAAGCTTGTGTTGCCTCCGAAACGTCGTGATTTTTATTTTATTTTACTTTTATTAATTTTAATGTTTTACCTACGTGACTTTACCGAAAAAACCTAAGAATATGAATCCTTGCAGTCACGAAAGTTTCAAATCTAGGATTCAATCATCTTTTCGCTTCCTGAATTGTTTTAAGTTATTTAATATGAATTCGCTCACGCACGACACTTCATAAAATAGTGCACTCTAATTTTATTCTGTGGGAGGCTATGAATAGGCCGCGTTATTGATTAGCTAATTTAAATGCGAAGTCTTTAAACGTGTCTGTTGTAATGTCATCACCGCGTTTGGTTTTTCAATTAAAATTGTCCGCGTTACACAGTACACAATTAAATCACAATTGTGCACAACTTTAAAGTACACACTTCACATGTATAAGTGGACATTATTATTGAGATGTTTTTTTTTGGGGGGGGGGGGGATTGAAACACGACTGTTGTGGTATTATCCTGAGCGTCTGTGAAAGAGCATCATCACCACACTCGGCACACCCCATCCAGTATACACATCTCGCTATGGTGGTGCCAAGAACTGTATGTTGTTGTTGTTTAGTTTGCTGCCCCCCGCACCTGCGATTAGCACGGTTGGCTACGTACGGTGCGAAAGAAGTTCAACATACGTACACGTACATACAACTCGTCACCAGTTAGCCAGAAAAATATTCGGTGATAAATGTAGCCCCGAACACAACCACTACAATTACTTTCTCTAGTTCTCTCTAACACTTCTATAGGTAGCAACGGTGTATGTATATATGTAATGTGTGAGATTACATCTCTATATATGTAATATGTGTGAGATTACATCTCTAGAGTCACGCAACACGTATGCAGGATAGCCACGCGTGTACTATACGAGATACGTTAATACATCTGAATTGTGTGTGTAGAATTTTTTTTCGCTGACACAAGTAAAAGCGCGCAATGATGTCAATGATCACAGAACAATGATAAGCTACACAATTCAACCGTTATGTCTGGTCCGGCCCCCTCCCGTTACCCAAGCTGGCCTGACCAGCGTGGGGAAGTATGGTCAAATAACCCCCACGGACGATAGGACTTATAGGAAGGTCCTCTTCATTCAGAAGTTAACTGACGAAGGGCCTGTGAATTGTTACTCTGATCATCGTCACAGTATGGTACAAATAAACATACATTGATGTAGGTGTACTCACCCGTAATGAGAGCTTTGCAGTTGTGGGAAGTGAGCTCTTAACTGGGACTATGATATACAAATAATTACTCAAATAACTCTATCATCGAAAATAATTACACATGGCCCTTTAAATGCATTTCTTACTCATACATCGCATTCGGTGTGCGTGTTGAAAACCCCTTACTGGTTCGCATAGCCCATACGATTTAGACTCCACACATTCATAGCCATATACACACTACTACAGGACTGAAAATTCATGGTCCATGCGTCAATCCACTGCTGGATGAGAATATCGGACTTCCGGACCGGTTGAGATAAGCGGCGAGTGATGGGGAACCTCACCGTTACAACCTAAAAGGTGCGTTAACCGCTGCACCACCGCTCACGGCCAACACCGGTGACGATTCATCTTGGTTCTTTCGGCAAAGTCACGTGACTTTACCGAAAGAACCAAGATGAATCCCTGCAGTCACGAAAGCTTTCAATCGAAATTTAACCGGTGACGATTATCTGAAATCGGTCGTGGGTGCTACTGCTGGTGATAGTATTGCTGCTGCTGCTAGTGCCCCCCCGTGCCCCCCTCGTGCCCCCCACGGCTCACCTGCCCGCCTTGGTGACGATCATCTCGTTGGTGAGTTCGCTGAACCTCTCCCAGAGCTCGCGCTCCTCGAGCGCCACGCGCAGCTCGCGCTCCGTGGGGTCGCCCTTCTCGCTGCCCGCGCGCGACTCGCGCTCCACGGCGCTCAGGAGGTGCTCGAGGCGCGGGGACGACGCCGCGGCCACCGCCGCCGCCTCGGCGCTCAGATCGCCGGCGGAGCTCATCGCTGACGATGCCGCCGCTGCCGTTGCTGATGATGATGATGCTGCTGCTGATGATGATGCCGCTGCTGCTGCTGATGATGATGCCGCTACTTATGATGCCGCTGCTGCTGCCGCAGATGATGATGATGATGATGCCGCTGCTGATGATGATGATGCCGCTGCTGCTGCTGATGATGCTGCTGCTGCTGATGATGATGCCGCTGCTGCTGCTGACGATGATGCCGCTGCTGTCGCTGACGATGCCGCCGCTGCCGCTGATGATGATGCCGCTGCTGCTGCTGATGATTATGATGCTGCTGCTGCCGCTGATGATGATGCCGCTGCTGCTGCTGATGATGATCCTCGTGCCCTGCTGCTGATGATGACGAGATTTGATTGAGTCAGAATCTATATTTAGACTGGAGGAATCCGATGAGCTATACAACTTTTTCACAGATTCACAGAAGTATTGCTGTTGTAAAGAAAAATTATTGTGTGTTGTGACATTCACGAACAGCAGTAACTGGTGATGTAGCCTCTATTCATTCATACCCGAAGGAACTTACAAATGAAATCAAGTATTGCGCTTGTTTAGCCAGGAAAAAACATCACCGAGTCCCATGACACTGTGTTTTTTTTAAGGAGGGTCCTGGCGAAAGGTGCGCGGATGATTTATTTTTTATTTTTTGCCAAAATGTGGATATTTGACGCCGGCACACAATGGCCTACTCTTGCGAATATCGTCACGGGATTTTTAACGTCCACTGTGAAGCAGACGGCATGTAGAAGTAATATTATTACTATGGTAATTACATCGCGCAGTATTAATCAGGGCGGCCCGTGGATTCGAACCGCGCGCCCGCTGGGTCATTTCATAGCAATAGAGTGGAGGGTTTCATAACATGGCACTATTACTGTCGACATAGGCGTAGCGTGCACTCCAGTTGTAGTGCCTTACGCCGATAATCCCAAACCAGCCTCGCAGCGTTCAGGAAAAAAAAAATCTAGTGATAAATTAAGCGCGGCTGTAGTCTCTCTGTGTGAATGTGTGTATTAGTGTATGCGTGCAGGGGAGCGGTGGTGCAGTGGTTAGCGCGTCGCGCTAAGAGAAACCCGGGGACAACAAGTTCGATTCCAGCTCACGGCCACTGACACCAGCGACGATTATCTTAATCAGTCCTGGGCCTCCCCTAGGTCGACTCAACCTCAAATGAGTATGTACCTGGTGCGGTGTGTAAATATCGCCGCTTGGGAGACAAAGGCGGCCAGGCGTGGTGCTGGCGAACCAAATCGTGTGCCGTGCCGGCTTTCATAGGTGCTCGCTAACAGCACTTGCCCCAATAGTCTGTCAAGGCTATACGGGGGAGTTGTTTCTTCATGTGTGCATGCACCATATGGTAAGACGATGTGTGCAGCCTACGTGTGCGTGTCAGCTATTAATAGTCGCCGGTATATATATATGTACTGTGGTTCGTGTGTCATCAGCGATGCAGGCTTATGTAATGTGTCTATATAATAGGCCTACGTGTATATTGTATTTATATACGAACAATTAATTTAGCCAATGTCGATATGTCAACTATGTAGCCGATTTATGTAGCATTTTCATAGACTATGCAGCCAATATGCATATGTACATTACATACGTGGAGTATTTACGTGGAACGATTGCGTGTATAGTTTCGTATGTTACGTATGTATAATATCGACTTTGTATTCAGCCACGATACGGATGTCCGCTCCCTACGCTACGTGGCCTATGAATTCACGTCTAGGTATGCACGTGTATATATACAATGTATTCATAGGTACAGCATATGTCTATGTATATCTTGTATGTATATGTCTATCCGTATATATAGGCAATGTATGTATAGGTAAAAATGTACGTCGGCAATACATCGGTGTATACAATATATTTAGAATTCTATTTGTATGCGTATACAATGCATGTATGTGTGTAGACAATGTATTTATAGGTGCATGTGTCTGTATACACACAATGTTTGTGTAAAGGTGCACAGTGTGTGGTACATGCGTGTCGGTGATGCAGGTACATGTGTACGCGTGGACTGTGCACGAGACCTGTGTGTTATGTTCGCATGTGTGTGTGTGATACACGTGTGTGTGTGATGCACGTGTGTGTGTGTGATGTGTGTGTGTGTGTGATACACGTGTGTGTGTGTGTGATACACGTGTGTGTGTGTGATACACGTGTGTGTGTGTGATGTGTGTGTGTGTGATGCACGTGTGTGTGTGTGATGCACGTGTGTGTGTGTGATACACGTGTGTGTGTGATGCACGTGTGTGTGTGTGATGTGTGTGTGTGTGATTACACGTGTGTGTGTGTGTGTGTGATACACGTGTGTGTGTGTGATACACGTGTGTGTGTGTGTGATACACGTGTGTGTGATGCACGTGTGTGTGTGATGCACGTGTGTGTGTGATGCACGTGTGTGTGTGATGCGCGTGTGTGTGTGATACACGTCTGTGTGTGTGATACACGTGTGTGTGTGTGTGTGATACACGTGTGTGTGTGTGATACACGTGTGTGTGTGATACACGTGTGTGTGATACACGTGCGTGTGTGTGTGATACACGTGTGTGTGTGTGTGTGATACACGTCTGTGTGTGTGATACACGTGTGTGTGTGTGTGATACACGTGTGTGTGTGATGCACGTGCGTGTGTGTGATACACGTGTGTGTGTGTGTGATGCACGTGTGGTTGTTCTACGCGGTGGTGCATCGATGTACCTGTGTTAATATCTCCTCTTGCCAACCTCGCGCGCGACCGGAGGAACGAACGGGCAGCGGGTTGAGTTCACGAGCGCGATTCACTCTGAGCGAGTGGCAGAGTCGGGGTAGGGGAGGGGGAAGTGGCTGAGAGGAGCGGGACAAGCCCAGACGAGGAGGAGGAGGGAAGAGGAGGAGGAGGGTGGTGGTGGTAGTGGTGCTGCTGCTGCTGATGTCTCCAGCGCCGGTCCTTTATCTAAGGGGTCAATGGGCACCGCCGTCTCCGCCCATGGTAAAGACGCTCATTGGTTAGGAGATGCAGCAGGCAATGCCCGCGTGTGGTGGAGAAGGAGGTGGCGGTGGGGGGTCCATTCTCTTTATTCCTCTGGGGGGAGGGGGGAGGATCACAATGGGTCCGTTGCTTTTGTTCAGACTTCTCTTACCTTTACAGAGTTTTATCACAGTTACGTGTATTTTACAAAACCCGTAGCGGTTCCGCGCGAGTGGAGATGTCGCAGATTTCGCGTGTCTTCGAAACTAAATGCGTGAATTCAGCTCGTTTGTTTGGAGATGCCGTTTGTTTGGCGATGCCGTGTCGTGAGCTATGAAGAAGGGCCTCTGCCCGAAACGTCGCCTATCATGTTTTTCATTTTAAGCGCCGTACTATTTACTGACAAACATGTTGCGTTTTTTTTTATGACCCTGTTTTATTTTACCCGGACGTTATGAACGTGTACACGTGTAGGTTTAGATGCATATTGTACCGTGCATTTGTATTTATAAAAAAAAACATAGTTCAAACTACGTATTTGTTTCCACTCCGGTTCCTGTGAATGAGTGAGCGAAATCTAATGAGTGAGATATACACTAATCCTCGAACAAACTATGGTTCTGTAATGCAGCTACGTCGTTAGCAGTGGTTGCACACACAGCACACACGGATCATCTAAACACTACGACGACTGTGGACACCCAGAAGAGAAGCAACGGGTCTCAATGCCCTCCCTGTTCACGAATGCGAAGGGAGGTATCGTCGCAACGATCCATCCACTCCGCTGCTCCTGACTGGCAATGAATGACCAGCGCGGGGAAGTATGATTTAGCAATGCCCAATGAACAGCGCGGCCTGAAGGCACGGCCTTCACCTGCTGCACTGGGCTGACACAGAGCAGAAGTGATGTATTTACGCATAGACAATCACAACACTGATGTGTAATATATACTGTATTATGTACTGTCTACGTGAGCACGTAATACGCACGTGTATGTGTATTGCTGTTGCTAAACTTACGTTAATTTAAGGAATTGAAAGAGAACGCGTCTTTTATTTTTGCTGGCACATTTTACGTATTTATTTATTGTAGCAAAAATGTTGCGTATATTGTTGTTTTATCTTACGAAATGTATGCCAACGGGACCCAACCAGGTTGGAGGATGTTAAATAAACTCTGGGATAAAAAATAAAACATGAAATGAATGTAAAATGTGGCTTGGTTCAAAGCCCCTAATGTTCAGGAAGGTGGGTGTATAGCTCACACATCACACGAAATGCGTATTGAATTGTTATTCAATCACTATTTGAACATTAAAATAGTCCGTTAGCATGCAACCTCACGATAAAATAGCCTTGCTACACAGCATACGTGTAACGTACGAACTCTCCCTTGTTAGAATAACTGTTTTTAGCGTTTAGTCTGCTGTCCTTACCCCCCGCACCTCCGATTAGCGCGGTTGGTTACGTACGGTGCGAAGTAAGTTCGACGGACACGCGTTCTCCGAGTGAGTAAACGCACTGCCCTCCTGACAGATTCTGTTCCTGCGCGTGATGGCAGCAGTGTGATGACGTTCGCCAGATAGACGCCGATGTCACGACGAGAGGGCTTCTCGGTCAGCGGACAGAGAGTTCTTCGCTCGCGTCGTTGGTGTTGTTGAAAGAGCGCAGAGCCACAGTTGTGTGTTTGCGTTGGGCTGTATGTTGGATTTCTTTCGCACCGTACGTGGCTAACGGCGCAAATCGGAGGTGCGGGTTTAGTGGACGATCGATTTTGGTATGTCGCATCTCGATCTCAACACATCAGCGGTGTTGTATCGCCTTATTCACTGTAGGTTCGTCCACTGTGCGAATTATTGAATTGTACAAATTACCGCAGTGTGATCAAAGATGACACGAGTTCAGGGTGAATGTCTCCTTAATGAAATGAGCAACCGAACGTCCATCATATGCTTGTTCAACCCCAAGACAGTGGTGGAAATTCCACATTTATATGGGTAGGTCAGTCTTGTTGCGGAATGAGTTAGAAATAGGGGTCTAAGGGGGGGGGGGGGGGGGGCACGAACCTACGGTAATGATTGTATGGTTATACCATACGAGTAACGTGACATCTTCCTTCAGATGTGATCGTTCGTTTCACCGTCTCACCCTCCCTCCTCCCTGTGCATCTGACGCCCTGCCAGACAGCCAGCCGGCAAAACTTTTCTCCGTCTTCCAATATACAGTAATAGATCTATGATTCGTGTTGGTTTAGCGGGGGTTGTGTGGGCGGATGCAGCATTGAGTGACATTTCATAGTGAGCCTGAAGCACATGCAACTCTGCAGAGCAGGACAATCAAA